CAAGGCTATCAAGTAGACAAGGTAATGTAGAAAAACTTTCAAAGTGTAACTGTGAAAGACTAACATTGTTTAGCCTGATACCAAAGTCACCCAAGCAAGAATGTGTACAGCAGTGTTCTCAAACTTTAGGTGCATCAGTCCCTTGAAGGATTTTCTTAAAGCAGGTTGTTGGGATCCACCCCAAGTTTCTAATAGTGGTTCTAGCAATATCCTAGGTGAGACTGATGCTTCGGGAGCCAGGGTCACACTTCAAGAACCACTAACAGAAAGAGGAACATGGTATTTGGAGCTGAAGAGCTGAGAATGAGTCTATTACAATCCCCTAGTAGAGGTGTTTGATAAAATTACATGCTCTCCCTAACAGCATCTGCACTAGCTAATTCACAGGGTGGTTTTCAAAAATCAAATGTGATGGTTATATGAAACTGCTTTAGAAACTTAAAAAGTACACTGCACAAGTTATAATTATTAAACACATGAGAAGTAGAGTAACTCAGGCCTCTTATCACAGGTTGAAACATATTTGGAAACACATTTCTAATCTAAAGGGTTTAATTTTCGGAGGGCTTTCAGGGATTTCTTATATGCTAACATTAGGAAAATATGGATCCTAAACACTGGTGGGCTCATTTGCATGAGGGTTTCCTTGCATGCTTTAGCTCAGTCTATCAAAAATAGCAAAATAAACAAAAGCTACCCCAAGAGGTAAAAACACCCCAAGAGGTTATATTTCTACTCCCTGGGAGGAACCCCAAGCCAGTTATATCTCTTACCGATAGCAACAAACGAGTCACCACATTGTGTTTCATAAATGAGTAAAATACAAATCTGTATGCTACATTACACTTCCCAAATGCTTTCATGGCCACTGGCTCCATAAATCAAGTTGGAAGTAGCAGAAAAGGGTATTTTACTAGTATAAGAACAACTTGCACATGAAATGGTTCATTCTGAATTATAAATCATTATATAGTTTCTTTTCCTTTCATAAGGAGACCCAACAGAGACCTGAGAGAGAGATGAAATTCAAATAAGTTCAGTGAGTAATAAATATAACAAAACCTTAATGATGGCTTTTTTCTCCTTTATTCAATGACTGGCCAAGTGTCAAGCCAGAAGGATATGGAAAATGACAGTGTCTGCCTGCAATATCACAAATCGGTCCTGGAGTTAATAACAGGAACCTAGGTGTGTTTCAAAGGTCTCTTAGATCTAGAGATTTCACATAGCCACAATTATCCTGCCTTTTCCTGATGATTTTTCAACCATTACTAACTTTTTAAGGCTGTTCCCTTGGAGTTTCTAGGATAAAGACACTCTTAAAATTTAAAAAATAAAGTAATAAGAACAATAAAAAAAAAATCCCATCCTTCATCTTAAATCCCATGCCAATCTAATGAGACTGTTGCCATCTCCTATTTATTCAAAGGGTATGTCTTATTTTTTTAAGTACATATTTAACTCTCTTTTAACTTCTTTTAGCCTTGAACTGAAAAAAACACATAGGTATCAATTTTAAAGAAGAGCTACATTGGCAAAAAAGGATGACTTGTTTTTCTATAAATACTTTGCATTCTTCAAAATACTCTTGTTGAAGTTAGGAAGTAGCAGATGAAATATTAGAATTGGCAAATTAACTATTCTGCTGGGTTCTTTAAAACAAATCCCACAGAATACAGATAGGGAGAGTAAACACAGACTCAAAAACTAACTGAAAACTACAGTGTTCCATGTCTGGGGTGAACAACTATGTAGGATTCCCCACCAAAGCCCACTTTTTTAAGTAGTAGGATTCCTCACTGGTTTCTTAAATCATTTGAGATTAGAGAGTTTTTCTTTTGTGCTTCATTTTGGTAAATGATTAATTTTGAAAACTAATCTTTACTAGTCAGAAATTTGGTTGGAGACAGGCATGATGGCACATGCCTGCAATCCCAGTACTAGCAAAGCTGAGGCAAGAGGATTGAGTTCAAGGCCAGCCTGGGTTCTGGGTTACACAGTGAGACCTTGTCTCAGAAAAAAATAAGTAAATAAAAAAAAAATAAATTTTGGTTGAGACAGTGATCTTAAAATGTTTTTAAAAAAGGCAGAAAGGAACAAATAGGGGAAATAAAAGGAAGAACAAAATCAAAATGCAATTTTGTTCAATTGAAAATATTCTACATAGAGGTCTAACTAAATGCCTGCCTTATATTACAGCTTTTTCTTCTACATTCTACATTGGATGAAAAATAGTTAACATTAGCTAAGGCATTTAAGTGTAATTACCATATATAATAGGGATATAGTCATGATACAAAAACAGTTGAATATTTGGAGTCCGCTGAACATCTTTTACTTAGATGGACTTTTAAAACTCTTATCTGCAAAGTTGTATTCTACTAAAAAACCAGTAACTTTATACAATAAAACAAGACTTTCTGTACATGTACTGTTTTATTGTTTCTCAAACTGTTTAATATATATTTATTGATCCTTTCCAACTAAGTAAGCATCTTCAACTTGAATCTACAAAGAGGGAGGGCTTGGATTTTGGACACATAAATGCCTTAGCATTGACTGTTCAATCTGCCTAAACAACTCTGCCCTAGACAACTGCATGGTTTGCTGTGTTACTTCTTCAGCTCTCTGCTCCAATGTGACCTGATCATACAGAGACCCTCTCAATACTCCCTAACCTCCTTGCCCTGACCTTATTTCCCCCCTTCATAGAACTTATGCAATCTAGTATGTTCTTTGTCTGTTTTTTATGGGATCATTGACTATCTTCTTTTAATAAAATATAAGGGAAGCAGGAGCTTTGCTCTGCTCACAATATTTGACACATATAAGGAACATGATAAATTATTTGAGTGAGTGAATGAATGCTTAGAAAAGAGGATGGAAAACCTATTCATCCTTACAGACTTTGGATTTGGGTATATCAATTTAGTGTATTATTACTTAGGCTAGAGGAACAGAACTGTCTTTTTCAATTCTGTCTTCACATTGGCAAAGACAGAACAGAGACAAAAGGCAGTCCATGGACTCTTCTTTTAGAGAGACACCCAGCCTGGCCAGGTTATTTAGCAAATATCCCAAACTTGCTTCTTGTTCCACTCTATTCAATTAGGCTCCAAAAGCTTGCCCAAAGGACAATATGACTTTCTCATTTCTGAACCTTGGGAAACACACTTGCCCATGCCCAACAGAGATTGAGCAAATTCCCCCAGGACACACATTACCCCAGGGATGGAGGCATTGACAGTGGTTGCATAAATCACCAGGTCACCTTGGCCCACTGAGGCTCCCTAGTAGACATGGACAGATAATGTGACCTTAAGGAACCTGAGGAGTTCATAGCACTCTCTCGTGCAGAGGTGGGTCAGCATTCTTAAAGAGTTAGAATGGAGCCCAAGGCTCAGCTCTTACCTAGGATGAACTACTTCTTAATTGCCCTTGAAGCTTTAGTTTCCTCATCCTCATAGCATAAGAATGCTTCACTTCTTCCTTATCACCAAAGATCACGTCTAGTTCTGACGTCCTAAAACCCTTCCTCCTTTCTCCACTTCATTGTCATCTTTGTCGTAGATGATGAAACTGAGGCCCACAGAAGGGACACATCTAGCCTAAAGCTTCCCTGCTGATTAAATGCAGAAACAGGTCTAGAATTCTGGTTTGATGCTTTTTTCATTATGGACTCAAATTCAGTTTTCATTTCCCTGGACATTAACCTTTTAGGTTTCAAAATTATTTGGTCATTGAGCCCCTCTGGTAAGCAAAAACCCCATGGGTCATTTAAATAAGTGACAGTATCAAACCTTACTATTGGGTAGGGAAAGGTGATGTGAAAGAAAAAAGCTGAAGCCTTAAGATAATCAGTCTCATGTAGGATACTATTCTGGTACTCTGTTGTCAGCTTCTGTAGAGTTTACTTACTATAATCAATGAGGTAAGTGATGTTACTATGGATGACAAAGTAAAATTTACGTTTATAATTTTATTAAATACCACAAATAATGTGTTGAATCCTTATTCAATAATGACAAGACTAGATTACATTAGTTCCATGATAAAAATGTAATAGTTTGTACTATAGTCTTTGAGAAAATGTATTTTGTAACTTACCTCACTATGTTTTCAACTTTGTGAAAAGAGTAATCCTAAAATCTTTCAACCCTTCCTTCAACTATATTCAATCACTTTTGTTTATCTGGCTCCCTCTTTATTTTTCAAGTTATATCTACATCTGTGTAACTTTATTCTCATTTTACTCCACAAGAAAAGGCTAGACAATAGAGAGATTATTACTTAACTGTAGAAGATGAGGAAATTGGGACACACGGATAGGGACTGCTAAATAAAGAGACAATTTGTACTCCATGTTACACATCCACATTTTACATTCAGAAACATTTGTCAAAACTAAATAAGCAACAGAACTGATATGTACTGCGCATCAAAATAAAGCGCTATCCCAATTATGTAGAACCATATTTCCTAAATGGTATTCATTACTGAAAGAGTTCAGCTATAAATAATGTCAAACATTTCATTTTTGTATGAGTAAAACTTCTGAATGACATTCATAAAACCAAGAAACTTATGAGAGCAAATGGATAGAAAGAAGTAATAATTCTTAGTAAGACTAAAGCCTTCCTATGGCCTCAGTATATACCTACAAATCTGGCACCATGATTACACTGTAAGAGTCTGTGGAAAATATTTAGTTCAGAAGGGGATTTAAATCATCATATCTTTAGCATATTACATAGCAGTAATGTGACAGAAATGATGATAATGTACAACAAACATTAATATTATCTCACTTAACTCTTCATGTAAGAACACTAAAAGATAGGCACTATTTTTATGTTTATAAGGGCGAGGAAACTGAAGCATGTAAGTGAAGTAAACTTGTCCAAATCTCAAGGTTAGTATTCTAATTCTTAGTCATGTAATGCTACGACTGTCGACATACGAAAGTCTTGGTTGTTTTAACAAGTACAAGCCCGACCTACCATTCTGAAGTCTTCTTCAAACTTGAAAGCCCCACCTCCCGTGGCACAGAGTGTGGTGTGAAGGCTGGAGAAGTTCTTCTCGCTGCCCATCTGGATGAACCTGTGCATGGCACAGGTGGGAAAGCGGATGAAGTGCAAGTTCCCTTTGCGCCCACACATGGTCAGGTTTTTCAGTTCCAGGTGGACATCTCGGATCCCAGTTTTTCCATATGCCGTATTAGAAGTCAAATATTTCCGGATGCTTTTCAGGTTTTCTACTTCCTCCTGTTCCTCTTCGGCTGTAATATCTTTCGGTTCAAAGTAGACCAACTTAACCAGGGTTCCACCAATATCCATACCAAACCATGGGAATGCTAGAGAACAGAAGAAAAAGAGTGCTGCTGAATTCTGCACATACAAAAAAGTTCAGTTTTTTTGAATATCCAATAAGGAAATGCATTTAATATTTGATTCTGTATGCCTGAAAAGAAGGCATAGAGAGAAACTCACAATTGCAGTGGTGTCCATGACTCTAACCACACTCCATTCAGTGAAAAGGACTCAGAATTAAATGAGATGAGTAATGAATTCTGCTGTCTCCTAAGCCAATCTCAATTATGCTTCTTGGAGCTTGAGTATCTCGCCAAGATAAATCTATTTCAATATATATATATACCAGAACTCCCCAGTGCTAACAATTTTATCTTAGCCCAAGAAACTGCTCCAATTTCAGAGGAAAACTGACTATGCTGGGTGTACCACGATAGGACACGTTGTCTGTAAGCCACTTGGTGCCTTCCTAGGGTACTTTTCAATGATTCAGGTTTTGTCTGATAAACTGTGTAAGATGTGACTACAATATATAGGAAGCAGATGGGGAGGGAAAGTGCACAATGAGAGATGGTAGTCAGACATAACGATCCCTAGAGTGGCAGAACTCTAAGAATGGCTTATGTTAATCTGATTTCTTTCTGCATTAGCAGAGACACTCTATATCTCTCTCTACCCCAAACGGACAACCCAGAAGTTCTTAACCTGAATGCGTACTAGAATTACCTCGGAGCTTTTAGCTGATGCTGACTTAACTCAGGCACACCCCTGGAATAAGTATATTTTTAAAGTTCCCCAGTGTTTCCAGTCTACAGGCATGGAAACTACTAACCTAGAGGAACCACAGCGATTGACAGGGAGGGTCACAAACAACCACACCTCCTGCCCGGGTCTGAAACACAAAGCCGTGCCTATTGGTGTCTAAATACTTAGACTGCTGGAGGTGTTTATCTGAGACTGAGTCTGCATCACAATTTTTATCACTATTAAGGGAAAGGGCTGAGCTACCTGAACAGGCTGACTTTACTTCAGAGGCATCCTGGAAAGTTAATGTTGTGCTATCAAACCCAAATGTTGGAATCTTCCCTTTCATTTCCCTTAGCAGAACCTATAAGCTCAACCTGAATTGTGATATGAAGACTGGCTTTAAAGCTGGCTAAGGAGCAGCACTTGGGAGATGGAGGCAGAAGGATCATGAGTTACAGATCAGCCTGGGCAACACAGCAAGACCATCTCAAAACAACGACAACAACAAACCAATAAGCAAGCAAAAAGAACCCCCTAACAGTTAAAAAAAAACCCAAAAAACAAATAAACAAAACACCCTAAAAAACCCCAAACCTGCTGAGTTTAAAGATGCAGGGAGCAAAAATGGCTTTGTTCAAAAAATTTTCTTTCATTTCATCCCTAAAGAACCTTTATATAAGCCTTTGTTAAACTAGGCATATTACAGACCCAGAAATACAAATGGGACCTGTGGAAGGTCTTTTCTTTTCTTTTGGTACCCCTACAATTAAGCATTCTATTCAGAGGGTTGAAGAAAAGGGTATGGAAGAAAACATTCTTGTAAACAAAATCTTTCCTGAGCCACACTGATGTTATTTTAGTTATGATCCAAGCTAGCTGCTCCATTCTTGGTGAACAGTGACTCTAATGCAACAGAAAAGCAAAATCTCAAATCCCCAAAATTTTAAGAGCAACAAATTCCACTGACAAGACCAAGTTCACATGTGTTTCATAATCTTTCTAGAAGCTACAAAGCAAGTCCCATCCAGCCCAGTATAGGCTGGGAAGCTTGCTTATCCTAGCAGAAGCTAACAGAAAACTGAAACAGTTCATCCTTATTGGTCATTTGAGCTCACATATGAATTTGGTTGTCCAATCTCTGAAATTCACTGTCCACATGGCTCACAGTATAGGAATGGCACTGAGTAACAGGTAAAATCTCAAATTAGGATTCAGAACAACTCCTTCCAGGAGCAGCAGTTAGAACCAGCTCCCTGTAACCCTCTCCACCTCTCTGGATCTTAATTTCCTTATCTGTCAAGGGAACGAGTTGCATTAGAATGGTCTGTAGTCTCCCCTGCCCCATTGCTATAAATATGATGTTTTAAAGAAATACAAAAGGAAAATCACAAGCAGTCCAACTCAAAGGCTGGCAGAAGTCTTGTCAATGGAACCCACTGACATATGCTCTGTGTTAACAGATGCCTGGACTATACAACCAGTTGCACTTGTGATCCATTCTTATCACAGTAGTGAAGACAACTGCCACTGGACAGGATGGGGGCAGGGTCTTCTGTACCATTTCTAGGATAGACCTTTTAGAAATATCCTGGCAACACTTATTAAAATTAAAAGTACACAAACATTTTAAACCAAGCTAACTCCTCTTCTGGACCATATTTAAAAAATTCAAGTAATCAAGGTTTAGGTATAGTGTTCATTATAGTATCATTAAAATTGGCCAAATGGACACAAACACAAAAGAAACCAAAAACAAAGGGCATGTCCTTTAACAAGGAAACTGTTTAATAAAGTATGACTTCTAAACCGTGGAATATTAGGCAGCTGTTAAAAAGAATGAGAGATTTATTCTAGCTGACTGAAAGATGTCCACCAATTTTCTGTTAGTGAGAAAAACAAGAGATGACTAGAAGTATGGATTATATAGATAGATTCAGATATAAATGTAAAGATATTTACTCCATCTATTTTTTTTTCTTTTAAATAAAAAATCAGGAGGAAAAAAAGAAGGGAAGAAAGGTAGGAAAGGAGTATGGTCTCTATATGTGTATGAATATGAGTCTGCAGAAAGGTATAGAAGGCCCCCAGGTTGTTAATATTGACAGGGGGTGGCAGGATGAGCAGGTTGTATGCATGGAGGCTAGAGACCTGGGGAGGAGATGGAGAAATTCCTACATTTAGAACTTTCAGTATATTCAGAAATAAAAGGAAGTCAGCAAGCTCGGCACTGTATAGACAGAACAGGCTGCATGAAACCCAAAAATAATGTAGTCTGGTACCAGAGATGCAATATTCTGCCAGTCACAACGGGATTAGCAGACCTCCAAGGAGGGACAGCCTACATACGACCTTTTATTTGGTTGGATCTTGACAAGTACAGACAATTGAAGAAGTCTCACTTTTGGCAATGCTGCAGGAGACACCTAGACATTTTATGCTGTTTAGAACTCTGGTTCACTTTTCTGTTTTAACTGATCAGTTATGAGTCATTTCAGAGCTTTCATAGGCAACTCAACAAAACCATAGGAATGTGCAGTTTTGAAAATTCAGATTACTGTCTACCAACAGTGTGGGTTAAAGTAAAAGGGCATAGGATTATAATTACTGTATTAGTTTAAGTAGTATTAGAAATCACTTTTAACAACCTGAGAACACAGCTCAGTGGTAAAGCATTTGCTTAGCATGAACAAGCCTTGATACCACAGAGGAAATAAATTGCTTTTAGGTACCTCTGCTCGTTTCTTACCTTCAGGAAAAATGTAATGCTTTTTACTCACACTGTAATGCTTTTTCAGGCACTGTTATATTTTACATGTTTAGTTCTATTCATCTTCCTAATGTGAAGATCTACCTAAACTTAAGCTTCCCATACAGAAGCCATGGATGGAGATAGAAGTGAAGAGGAAGGAAAGAAATCCCAGTGCAGTCACCATGCACGACTCATTACCATTGGTGTGGGACACCAGATGCTTTGAGAAATTCAGCTGAGCTACTGATGAGAAAAGCCTATACTGTGCTTGCTAGTTCTAGGTACAGAATGTTTGCATTCACTCCTTACTACTCCTTCCTAAATAGATATCATACATACACACACACACACACACACACACACACACACACACACACACACATACTGGTGGTACTAGGGTTTGAACTCAGGGCCTCACACTTGCTAGGCAGGTGCTCTGCTCAACCCTTTTTGCTTTAGTTGCTTTTCAAATAGGTCTCATGTTTATATGAGGGCTGGTTTGGACCACATTCCTCCTATTTATGTTTCATGTGCAGCTGGTATGATGGGTACACATCATACCATGCCCAGCTTTTTATTGGTTGAGATGGGGTCTTGTGAACTTTTTGCCCTAGCTGGCCTCAAACCATGACTCTCCCACGTCCACCTGCAGAGTAGGTAGGATTACAGGCATGAGCCTGATAACAGATGCCTTTTTAAAATTTTTTCTAAAGTATTCAACAACAATTTCAGCAGGAGACCATATTCAAACTCCACAAGAAGACATCTTGAGCAAGTATTAAATAAAATTACCAGAGGCCATTGTTTTGGTAACTCCTGTACAAGGTGCCAACAGACTGGCTAAGAAACAAATGGAGTCACTCATACCAAGCTGAGACCAAGCTATTTATCTCCATTCTTATCTTCCCAAATAGGTCAGCTTCAACTGTCAAGACAGTGAAGTTGCCTCTGCCTTAATCTTTATACACACAAAAAAATAACCTGATGCCAAGCCATCAGCTATTTTTCTATTCTTCTGTCTCCCTGTTCCCACCTTAGTAACTTTTGGTTTTGTTTCTGTTTTGATTCAAGGCTTTCTTTGTCTGGCAGAATCAACCCACTTTGCTAAACCCACTGGAACACTATTCTATTTTAGGAATGAATGTGCCTGTTTCTAGAATTGAAAGTAAAGCCAGTAAACATTGTTAATCCAGGGTTGGAGATGTAGCTCAGTGGTAGAGCACTTGCCTAGCTAGCACGTGCAAGGCTCTGGGTTCTGTATTGCATGACTAAAAAAAAAGATTGTTAATCTAAATTATTGTAAATTTTTTCTTTGAAAGCAAAAATAAACAAACCTGTGTTCTTCTCTTCTTTTTTTTTAAGGAGGAAAGATTTATCTTTGCTCATGCTTTCAAATGTTTCAGATCATGGTTAGACCTATGGTGAGGCAGAACATCACAGTAGGAGCATATGGAGGAAACTGGCTCACTTCGTGGCCACTGGGAAGCAAAAGGCCTTTGCTTTTTTTGTTTGTTTGTTTTTTTTAAACCATTGAGATCTGGGCATTGT